ACGAAGTCTCTCCTTTTTTTTTCTGCCGCGCCTACTTGCCGAAAAGAATCCAGAAGAGAATGTCCGAGAACCGGGGGAATGAGTGAACTCAAAATCCCCAGAACACAAACACCCCTGCAAGGTATACAAATGCTTTCCTGGCCACCGTACTCTCCTGACCTGTCACCAATCGAACATGTGTGGGATGTGATTGGACGCCGTTTGCAGACTCTGTCCCTGCCTCGTTCAGAAGGCGAACTGTAGTAAATGGTTGAAAGGGAATGGAGAGCAATCCCTTAATACACCATCCGCACTCTTATTGACTCTATGCCTAGACATGTGTCTTCGTGCATCGCTGTCTGCAGTGGTCCTACATCCTACTGAGCCGACGCCTTTCTCGCTTTGTATTCTATCAATTTGAAATAAAGATCATTTATTGCTACTTGCTGCCTCTTTTTTCCAAATTTCATCACTTTCTGACCACTCCTTCTTGGTGTTGCATTTTCAATGTTGAGCAGTGTATTAATTTACTCTCCTCCCCCCAAAAAAATAATGGTTATTGATGATTTTGTTAATACCACAATGGAAGAACATCTTGAAGCAAATTTAGGCTTATTTTATTACAATTTACACTGCACTTGCATTATATTACCCTCATTAAAATCTGCATTAATTATTTGGCACATATGGAACAGAGATGCTGATAAAACTACCACTAGAATGAGGAACAGTGAAAGCAGTTTTTGTAGACTTATTGTACATGATCTGGCTTCAGATGGACATGTGGAATTTAACAGATTATGTTGTCAGCAATAAATTTGATGGCCACAATGTAATGCTGCTTTTACCTGGTCAGACTTGATACTTCAGTTTTAATTGATTAGTATGTATTAGATACATCTCCTACATACAAAGAGAATTTTGGTACTCTTCCAACAGGTTGCGGGCCATATCTATAACATATAACCTACTCTGTATTTGCGTTTGATAAGTGCATAAATCATGCGATACACCTAACTGATAGTAAATCATCAGACAGATTTTGTTGATCCTGATGTGGTAACATTCAGGCAATAGAATATACACTGGTGTGCAAAAATTAAGGACGAAGTCAAAAAATTAGCATATCAGCTGAACGAAGAGGCAGAGCGGACAGAAAGACCAATCAGGAGATTAAGTATGGTGATGTACGGTAGCACATGCGCAGATATGCAGGTAGATGTACTGGGGGAGTGTCTGAGTAGTATAAAGCATGTTGTCGGTGTAAGATCAGTAGTTCTGGCAAAGAGATTGCATGCCGTATAGAAGTTAAAATCACACCGAGTTGCTGCCTCAGCGAGAAATGGCGAATAATCAATCTGTTACACGACATCTGGATGCTTTTACCTGAGGTCCAATCATTGGGAAGTTGGAGGAAGGCCGCAGTGTGACAAGTGCAGCTGCAGAGTTCGGAATTGCTCACAGCATCGTTTCACGACTTTGGAGACAATTTCAAACTACAGGAACAGCTATCCGAGGGTTTAGTAGTGGTCCTCCACGAGGAACCACAACCGCAGAAGACTGGTATATTGCCTTATAGGCCAGGAGAAACAAGCAGCAGACAGCGGGAGAAATCGCTAGACACACGACACAGGCGACTGGACGACCGATATCGCGTTTTACTGTGACCAGAAGACTGCACGGTGGTGGTCTGTTTGCACGACGCCCTGTACGGTGTGCACCTCTAACGCCTGCCCATCGGAGAAGCCGTTCTCTGTGGTGCTGGGAACACCGGAATTGGAGAGACAATGAATGGGGACGAGTACTCTTTACAGATGAGAGCAGATTCAGTCTGAGTAGCGATTCTCATCGCATACTCATCTGGAGAGAGCGGGGAAGCCGCAATCATCCCTCGAACATCATTGAAAGGGATAGGTATGGAGGTGGCGGTGTTCTCGTTTGAGGAGGCATCATGCTTGGTAGTCGTACAGACCTTCACATCTTCGACGCAGGTTCAGTCAACGGGACCCGTTATTGTAACGAGATTCTTCTTCCATATGTGCGTCTTTTAGAGGCGCTATGGGTCCACAGTTCCTTTTCATGGACGACAATGCACCATGTCATCGCACAGTAGCTACCAAACAGCTCTTAGAGAGTGAGGATATTGAACGTATGGATTGGCCGGCACGATCTCCGGATCTCAATCCCATCGAGCATGTATGGGATTTTCTAGGCAGACGCTTGGCAGCTCGTACCTTACCACCAGTAACGATTCCGGAGCTTCAATTGGCGCTGCAGGACGAATGGGCAGCAATGCCTCAACAACTCATTGACATCCTCATTTTCAGCATGGGCAGACGCTGTGAAACCTGCCTAGCAGTCAGGGGAGATCATATCCCCTATTAAAGACTGGATGTTTCTTGCTGGACTCCCATCACAGGGATGATTCGGCCTTCAGTCGCATTGCGCTCCATGCTACTTTTTCAATAAAGCTTCTTTTAATCCCTCTGATTTCTCTTTTAGTAAGTGCTGCTTACATTACTCATGTCCTTACATATTGGGGATCTTACGGTATTAAATGTGTTGATTTGGAAAGCTTTTGTACAAAGTTATATTGAAAAAACTGTCTCGTCCTTAATTTTTGCACACCAGTGTATATGTTATCTTAAAAAAATCCGTATACAGAATATGACAGAACAATACTCATGATGCTATCTCATCGCCTTGTTGAATAGCGATGGCAATCTGTCAACAATGGGGTACAAATTTCTGGCCATGTTGAGAAACATCGGGACAGTGCTTGGATGCATGAAAAACAGGGATGGCTGTCAGTTTTGTTTCATTACAGGGAGGCTTCGATTGAAATATGCCAAATAGGATCACTTGAACTACTTTTTTAATGTCTTTAAAGTAGTAACGACAATCAATGGATATGATAGATCCTCTTTGGGACTACAACAGCACATATTTTGGTAATGTAGTATAATTTAATATGGTAATCTGGAAATTTAATAAAATTAAGCACAAATAATTTCTTTGTATTTTTTCTTTTTCATTTATGTATATGCTTATGTATATATGCTTAAAGGTATGTGTTATTATTTATGTATATGTTTTTTGTGTGGTTAAGCAAGCTAATGCTAATTCAGAAATCAAACAACAAAAATCAGCGTTATATTTACAAAATTTTCACAGGACTAGTTTCGATGGTTTTACCGAACCACCATCCTCAGCTGCAAAACCACAAATGAAGAAGATAAGAAATAATGATTAGATAAGGTAAGAAAGCCTGGACAAGAATAAGCAAGTGGCGTCATCTGTTGGTGAAACCAGAACTAAAACATAATTTCTTTAAAGGCCGAAGGCAAATTTGGATTATAATTAGGATCATTAACTAGAACAGAAAGATTTTTATGAATGTGAAATGCCTCTAGAAAATCCAGTTCTCCAATGGAAGATGTTTTTTGAATAATTTTGGCAGCAGAAAAATTGAAAGTGTGATTTTCGGACCAACAATGTTGAGCAACACAAAGACTCCTGTGTTTCCTTTTTTCTAACATATGCCTCATGTTCCTTGATGCGAAATTTTAAGGCTCTCTTAGTTTGGCCAATGTAAATTAAACCACACTGGCAAGGAATCCTATAAATACCCCAGGAATTCATATCCGGAATGGGGTCCTTGAGTATGGAACTCGGAATTTTATTGATGTGAGAATAAACAACCCAAAAGTTAAATTTCTGCAAAATATGTGCAACTTTATAGCTAATTGATGGAAAGAAGGGAATGACAGCAGAATTTTTATAATCTCCTAAAACAAGAATGTGCCTTTGATTGTGTTGAGATGAGAATTTTTTAACTGCTTGATTAATAATGTTGGGTGAAAAGCCCCTGTCAATAGCTATTGCTTTTAAATAAGTTCTTCATCAAGGGCTAGTTTGGAGGAGCAAACTTGAAGAGCACGGAAAACATAGGAATAGAAAGAAGCTAACTTTTGTTTAGTCGGATGACATGATTTAAAGTGTGGTGGAAGGCAAACCGATGAAGGTTTACGGTAAACCGTAGTACTGAAGTTGGATGTGTTACGTTTGACCAGAATGTTGAGAAATGGAAGAGAATTGAAAGTCTCAAGTTCAAAAGTGAACTGAATAGCAGGATCAATGGAATTCATTGTTGAAAGAACTTTATTTAAATCATCTTTATTACCTTCAAACAGGGTAAAAGTATCGTCTACGTAGCGGAACCATGCCGGGAAGTTTAAAGTTTCAAGCAATTTTGATTCATAATAATACATGTAGATATCAGCCAGGATGGGATTGAGGGGGCTTCCCATGGCTAATCCCTCAGTTTGCTTGCAATATTTATTTTGGAAAACAAAATGTGTTTGTTTCAAACAGAGTTGAGTCAGAGAAATCAGCTCATCAATTTCGATGCAAGAGAAATGAAATTCGCGAAGTCTGGTTTCTAGACATCTTAATGCACCCTCCACTGGGACATTGGTGAATAATGATTTTACATCAAAAGAAACCATGAGTAAATTACTGGGAGAAATGTTTTTAACCTTTTTTACGAACTCTATTGAATTTTTTATGGTGTAAATGTTATTGTCTAATAGAGTGGAAAATCTAGAAACTAAATATTTAGCTAATGGATACGAGGCAGTACCTAAAGCTAATGCTATCAATTTATTTAGTTCTGATCATGGTTCACGGGCAGTAGGTCACATGTTGTGAGAATATCAGATTTTTCATACTCCTTATTTAATTTTTAAACTCCTCCTCATACTAAGCGATGAGCAGAAACAATTTCTGGTAGCCATGTTTCTGAACTTAGTGAAGAGCATACCATGAAACATAAATGAGGTAATAACAGTATGGAAGGTTAAACCTCTTCTTAATAATTGGTTAGTGCTTTTGGAGCCAATAGTGGCTGGTGATTTATAGCTACATACTGTATAATTAAAACAAGAACATATGATTTAAACGAAAACATTAATATAAGTCAATGCATTTTAAGTAACAAACAATTAAAAAAAAAAATTTACTCTTTCAATTGAAGAATTCCTTGCATGTATTTTTTCCACAGCTCGTGGACAGGAATAAAAGTCGAAAACCTAAAAAGCATTCATATAAATATAATTTTTTATGTACACCTTAAATACAACAAAAGTATACATAATTAAAATAAAATTTTGAAAAATAAGCACGTTTTCCAATACTTTTTGATTATCTGCACCCTCCAATGAAAAGCCATGAGAAAGTAATCATTATGCTATGTAGTAAGTTGCTAAAATAATTATGTGACAATCCACATCACCAAAACATATTTATGTGGCAATCTCTGTTTGCATGCAGCGAAAATCTGTTCAAGCATATGCGAATGTGCCCTTTTAAAACTCAACATTCATTTTTACTTATTTATACGAAATAAAAAGGAAGTACTGTAATCGCGAAAAGTTTCGGGCATCATAGTTCAACGCAAACATCCATTTTCACCACTATCGAATGCAATTTAACAATGTTTTTGTGTGACATCTGTATGCAAGGACAGGATAAAGGACTCTTTTCCCCCCAAAAAAATTGTAAAACTAATTTAAAATGAATTCTAAAGAGAATTTTTACGTACGTACATATGTATCTTGCATAACTGAAAAACAAGTAGCCTCAGAACGTTGAAATTTTGTATATAGGACTGCTATAACATATAAATGTGCACCCCGTATTTTGGTTGCAATCGGCCACACCAAAAGCATATAAATATATATATATCCACTCTGTTACTTGGCTCAGTGATCTCAGTTTTTTATTCTTATATGTGCTTGTAAATTGTGCATTTTTTTGCTTTAAAAATGATTGAATTATGTTGTTCTTATCTTCCGATTAAGGTTTTTATGCCTTTAGTAAATCTGTATGCAATATTTTTAGAATTATCAAAAATTTAAAAGTTGTTTAAGTGCCGCTAAGCGTAATAATTTTTTCGATGGCAGCCATTTCTTGTTTACATTTGAAACAGCAGACTAGTAGATTTGTTGCCAATCTAGGGAAAGTAAGCTTTGCAATCACAACGATAACACCTTCTTTTATTATTGCAAATTAAATCAGGTTTAATCCATTCTGGAATTTATTTGAAGAAATAAGTGCTTAAGAAAGTAAGCTTTGCAATCACAATGATAACACCTTCTTTTATTATTGCAAATTAAATCAGGTTTAATCCATTCTGGAATTTATTTGAAGAAATAAGTGCTTAAGATTTACTTCATAATTTTCAGTACAGACATCTTGAGTTTCAACGTATTTTTGCTTTGTCGCGAAGTGAGAACTGAACTAATTGAATGAGAAATACTGAATCGTCTGTGAAAAAGCGTTTCTTTTTTGTTTTGTTTGCTTAATTTCTTTTGTACATCATTTTAGATTTTTTATAGTATTTGAATAGAACATGTGGCAACGATTAGATAATTCTTAAGATGATATAAATTTTGTGCATTCTAAGTTAAAAAAATAAGTGAAATTTAACACTGTTAAGTGAACCTAGGGCCAGAGTGTCGCTATGGTAAACAAATATAGTAAATTTTAAAGAGTGCATTTATTCTACTGTGGTTTATGTGCTATTGACGAAGTAGATTTAATTCAATCCAATAAGTTTGAATAAAATGCAAGAAAAAATGGGTATAATTTAATATTCCGTACAAGGAAGTCATGTAGTGCACACATCAGATTTTTTTTATTAGTATTTGTTTTTGCATCAAGTATGCCTGTTTTTCATGTAATGAATCATAACAAAACTGTGGAATATGCCAGATGATGATAAACAGCATTGCATTTCTGGAGAAATATGGCATTTTGACCAACAATAGAGGATGCATTACACTTCTTACATGACCAAATTTTATGGAAATGCAATGTGAAAAATTGCAAGCCAAATCTTAGAATGTGGGTCAGAAACTGGTTTTATTTATTAACGGCTGAAGCGTGACGCTGAATTTCTGCAATTCACATTTTTTTTTTTTTTTTTTTTTTTTTTTTTTTTTGTAAGCAAAAACAAATTGTTTGAGCATACAAAGAGGAAAGAAGGAAAACAAAAATTACAGAAAAAATTTCTCAAAAAAGCAACTAATTCAATTTAGATGATGGCATGCAGAAATTATACAATTAAAAATATGAAACCGTAATTTATGAAATAAAGAGCAATTATGATCTAAAGGATATCAAAATTTACAAAAAAAAACCTTAATATTTATTTGTATACTTTATTAAACATTTCTTTCAATGTAAGTTGTTTAAGTTGCTTCATTTTTTTGTGCTAAACACGCATGCGTAAACATTAAACGTGCATGCATAAAGCATACAAAAAACGTTTGTGGCTTAGAGGTCCGGATTATAGATCATTCCGGATAATGGACGTCCGGATTACAGACTTTGTATTATAAAAAATAAATATGCACATTATAATGATTTTAATTAATCCAGCTAAATTTCACGGATTTACCTATTAATTAATAAGAGATGAAGAACTAAGAGAGAAAATCTTATGCTCTGTTTAATGGCACATTGGTGCATAGAATATAAAAGTATATTATTTCAGGCAGTGGCAGCACTTAATTGCCAAGTTTTCTAATTTAAATTTCAAAGATTAGTTTAGTACAGTTTGTTGAGGCTCTTAAATCATGGAGTTTCTTAATTACAATTTTATTAAGTTCACACAAATATGAAATATTTCCAAAAACATTGAAAATTCAGGCTTCGAGGTGCACGTCTGGATGAAGGACTGATTATGTTGTGTTCAAAATCTGGTGGCTCTAGGTGCCATTGTTTTTCCCCAAGGAAGGAATATACAGATTCTCCATTATTTAATGATGCAGAATGATTGGTTTTCATTTTATTATTACTTAGTACACTACCATTTTGAAAATGGTTTAACTAAGTTAACTGCCTTTGCTTCATGAGCCTGGTGAATCAACAATGAATTTGTAGCTTTTCAATGGGGATACAGAAAATCAGAAAGCACCGAAAAAAAATTATTCCAACTTTTCTGTTTCTATGACAAGCAAAATAAAACTATTTAGGAACAAGAATAATTTGTATATTTCAAATTCTTCATAACCAAACAAAATTTTAAAAATAAATTAATACTTGGTAGTCTGTGGGTCCACTTTGAAGATGGCTAGTTTGCGCTGTTCATTGGCATTTAACAAAGTTTTTCTCTTCTTCTGCCTAACAGCTGTTCTTCTCTTTTTATACTTATCGAAGCTAAAGATATATTGTTTGTATTCGTCCACAGTTATTGAAGACCGAGGTATAGTATCTTTTATGAAGCTCTTGATATAATCATCGGGAACTTTCTGTAATACATAACACATTAATTACACCATGAAGAATTAAAATTTAATAAAAATATATGTAACAACAGATTGATATGATTCAGATATATATAATTACTTTATTAATTGGGTTACATTCATATGACTCACACTGTGTATGTTCGCGCGGTCCACTACATACACTGTGTATGTAGTGGACCAGATATGACCAAAATTAATAGCAGATATAAAATGCACATGATAAAATAGAAATTTTGATAATGATGTAATAATGAGGAAGAGAATGCAAACTTGTCACCTTCATGTGGTTGCTACAGGAATGTGATCGATACTGCACAGCAGTGGTCTCAAAACTCAAAACTGCACATTCTAAAAGTAACTGATGAGCTTAAATTTTTTTAAACAAAATGAAAATTTTGTAACTAAATATTTATAAAAGAGAAGCATAAACAATATTATTTACAATACAAAGGAAAAATTAAAATTTATTTTCTATCCAAAATTTAAAGGTCTACTATCTACATCAGAAAAAACCATCCAAACCAGAATTTAATGCCTGCAAGAAATCTCTATTCATTACATTTTTATCTGTTCAAAAGCAACATCCAAACGTCAAGCACAATTCCAAATATAGGTATTCATAATAAAGTAGATCTAATAAAAAGTACAAATAAACTGTATTTGTGCAGCCAGCCAATCAACTAGTCATTAACCCAAGAAAACTAGCAGAAGTGTCAACTTTATGGAGGGAGAAAGGGAAAAAAAGGAATATCAAAGAACCATCAGTTATTGGCTGGCCTACCAAATTTACTAGTCTCGCTCATATGAGAAGTTTATCTACTTAATCCTAGTCATGTAGTCTGTCATGCAGCCACCTTATCCCAGAAGACAAACCCAACTTATTCATTCTGTATCTCTTTCTATTCAATCGCAGTCATATATGAAAACTGTCCATATCTTTATATCTCTGAAACTCTCTATAAGTATCATGTGAAATAAATGTAAGGAAAAAATTATATTAAAATTATTGGTACAGCCAAAAGTCGTTAATCTGGACTCGTTGGGACTTCGGCAATTCCGGATTATCGATTTTTCTGGATTATAGATCATCAGTTTAAATCTGGTAAGATGGCATGCAGAAATTATAAAATTAAAAATATTAAACCATAATTTATGAAATAAAGAACAATTGTGATCTAAAGGGTATCAAAATTTACACAAAAAAAAAGTTTAATATTTATTTGTTTACTTTATTAAACATTTCTTTCAATGTAAGTTGTTTAAGTTGCTTCGCTTTATGTGATAATACTTTCTCTTTACTTTATCGGAAGCGAATTATAATGCCGAGGAATTTGATTTAAATCATATCAAAGATGGAGTACATCGAGATGAAATACTACATTTAGTAAGGAATTATAAGCCAAATAAAATAAAAACATCTGCCCTGAAGATAAGAATAGTGCTGACAGATTACCTTTCAATTCATTGCGCGCCACAGCGTTTCGGCATTCCCCCCCCCCCGGCCGCAGAGCAGCGTGAAATTGATAAAAAGATTTCGGAATGGTTTGAGAAACGAAGGGTATGCCTTTATCCATTTTTTGCCGCAATTCCACTTTTGTTTAATGGACTTCTAAACATACTTTCGCTTTGTAGATCCTTTACATATTAGTAAATATATATCGGAAATTCTATTTGACATAATCGAAAGTTCAAGCTTACTTTTATAAAATTGCTCTAACAGTCTACAAAAAATAATAAGCCGGATCCAATTCAAAGATTAAGGAACAACGCAATCTGTAACATTAACTGAATTAGATTAATTTTAGCTTAGCTTATACCGTCCGTTATACATTAAACGCGCGAGCGTAAACGTATTACGCGCATGCGCACAGGCATATTCGCAGCCGTAAAAGTTTTACGCGTCAACGCGACGCATGTGCAGAAAGTTTGTAGCCTTGAGGTCCGGATTATAGATCATTCCGGATTATGGGAGTCTGAATTAACGACTTTTGACTGTAATCAGTACACTGCACATTATTGAAAATTCTCAAAACTATCTCTTGAATCATCATAATAATTTTGGACATAGGTAATGAAGTTTAGACGCATCATTAAAAATTCTCAAAACTATCTCTTGAATCATCTGAATAATTTTGGTCATAGATAACTACGTTCATGTTCATCATTGAAAACTCTCAAAACTATCTCCCGAATCATCCCGGTAATTTTGGCCATATTGAAGTAAAATTAACTTGAGAAAAAAAATATTAAGGAGAATAATTAAATAAAAATATTAGCATTATTGTGTTGTAGATTAGCATCATATTAGTGTATTTCAATTACCATTATTTGCTAAAAAAATAGCATAACTGGAAAAGTAATTACCAAAAATAGAATTATTTGTTATTTTACGTACTTGTTGCTCTGATGCTAAGCCAGCAATGGACAGTTTGAAATCTACCAAATTTTTATGTACATAATACAGTCAAAAGTCTTTAATCCCAACTCGTCGGGACTTCAGCGATTCCGGATTATAGATCATCAGTTTATATCTGGTAAGATGGCATGCAGAAATTATAAAATTAAAAATATGAAACCGTAATTTATGAAATAAAGAACAATTATGATCTAAAGAGTATCAAAATTTACAAAAAAAAAAAGCTTGATATTTATTTACTTTATTAAACATTTCTTTCAATGTAAGTTATTTAAGTTGCTTCGTTTTATGTGATAATACTTTCTCTTTAATTCTATAAACAGATATAATTTCTTGTTCAGTTACAAAGTTCCGCTGTTCAAGTCCTGTAGTTGCTGTGTCGAGAATACCGACTAACTTGTCAATCGAAATTTTTTTGTTTGAATAACCTCTGTGTCACTTTTTTCAGTATCGGAAGTGAATTATAATGATGAGGAATTTTATTTAAATCATATCAAAGACGGAATACATCGAGATGAAATACTACATTTAGTAAGGAATTATAAGCCAAATAAAATAAGAACATCTGCCCTGAAGATAAGGCTAGTGCTGACAGATCAACTTCCAGTTCATTGCATGCCACGACGTTCCCCCCCTCCCACACACGCAGAGCAGTGTCATGGAGGTAAGAAAGAAAGGAGTGGCCAACCGGCACTAGAAGTGAAGCACTGCTTCGAAGCTTCGGTCACCAGATGGGGAGTTCTTTGTTTACATTCAGAAGCTCGCTTGACAGTGTTCTGATAGTATTTCGACACACGACAGTTCCATACAAATCGAAAAAGAGACACTTTCACATGAAAGAAACATTCATAGTGTGATAGATAATAGCAATTTGTATAGTTTAGTGACATTTAGGCAAAAATCACATCTTGGTTATTTTTCGATAACTAACAACAGCAATTTTGATTATGAATTTGTTTTATAAAATTCTAAGCTGTTGAACTACAAAAATATAAATTTTAACAAAAATGTTATGCTTAAAGAATGAAAAATACCTTACGGTACTTTTAAAATTGTATACGTCTTTCGATACCCTTGATAGAGTATTCGCTACTTTTATTTTATGTTCCAGACGCCAAAATGTTTTAAATAAAATAAATTTTTTTCACATCCATATATTATTGTAACATGTACCTTTGTAATGTAACATGTATTGTAAACGCGCATGCGTAAACGTATTATGCGCATGCACACACGCATGCATAAAGGTTTTACGCGCATGCCTAAATGCCTATGCTCATGCGTGAATGCATTATGCTTTGACGCATGCGCAGAAAGTTTGTAGCTTTGAGGTCCGGATTATGGGTGGCCGGATTAACGACTTTTGACTGTATCAGGAATTAAATTAGGAATTAATAAAGAAGAAATGTGGCACTGCATGATTTCAATTTCAAATTCCATTTGTATTAAAAATTCAAATTATCATTATTCAAAACAAGTCGCATTTCAGATGGCAAGAGATCTCAAGTAGCTCGCGAGCCGTAGTTAAGGTGTCAGAGAGGCCCAGTTTGGCCATGTCAACCATAGAGCAAGTTGTTACATTGATTTGCACTGTAGAGGGACCTTTCCATTCTTGTCAGTTTATTATTATTGTAATTTGTTTATTATATATATCAATTGTTCATTGCTCTTCCTTCCTTCATCAGTGGCACGAGAGACCAAGGTAGGCCCTGACCTTCTCAAGAATTTTCTTCCAGGCCTTTCTTTTCTTAGCCGTGGTCTTCCAATTAATTACTCTTTAAGTGATGAGGTCCCCTTCCAGGCAATCGACCCATCTAAGGTTGAGTCGGTTTCCAGTTCTTGTTCCCAGTGGGCGTGGCCAGGAATATTTTCTGCATTGTGCTCTCCTGTTCATTCTAATAATATGGCCAGCCCATTTAATCCTTTCAAATTAAATGTATTTCACGTTCTATGTAGGTAAAGTTCTAAATTAAGAGCGTCTGTGCCAAAAACCATCAACTTGCATTCCTCCGAAAATAGCATCTGCAGCTCAAAGATACCAAGGGCATTTTCATCTTTTTGTGTCATTGTCAAGGTTTCTGAAGAACATGTGAGTATAGGTCTGATTAGACATTTATAAATTAATAACTTTGTTTTTCTTTTAATTAAATTTGATTTTAAATATTTATTTAATATGTAAAATCATCTATTGGCAGCTTTAATTCTCCTCTGTACTTCAGGTGAGATGTTATTAATCTCTGAACTTCAGGTAAGATGTTATTGACCAGATATATAAAGCTATCAACTTTATCTAATTTATAAGTACCTATTTGCAGATGAGTAGCAGTTTGTCACCCTAGTGCATTGCATGTATTTAGTTTTTTCCAGGTTTGTAGTAAGGTGCTGCCTCTCTTTCCAGGGAGAGAAATGCCCATTTCAGAATTCCATTGCTGTACAATATGAAACTATTTTTTTTTATCATGAATAAGTACGCATTAAATATAATCCAACTTTATAACAATATTTCGGAAACAGTTCTATATTAATAATAATATTGAGTTTTTACAACAAACTGAAAATTTCTGAGGTTATATCCAGATATCTTTTCAAAAACATTTTGCATTTATTATTTAAAGACTTTCAATTTGAACTTTTGAAATTATATTTTTATACATCTAGACATAATAAAGTTTGCGAGCCAAATGATGGTGCATAGCGAAACATCGAGCCTATGTCCCTAGCCCTTCATTTTCTTTCTTGCATCAACTGTACATATTGTATAAAATTTCTTTGCTACTGCTCTAATGTAAGGCTTTTCTCTCAAACAAGACCCCCCCCCTTTTCTTTGCTTAAAGGACAGGAATTGGTAAAATATAAAATATCTACCTTTTTAATAATAAATTAACAATAGTCATTTAACTATTTTTTTTAATCTGAACATGCTCCCCTCTTCATTCTAAAAATAGCAAAGCAATAATATAATTTTTACTTCTGGTAATTCTGAAAAGTGATCTATCATCTGATCACTATAGGGATCATCTGATCACTATTGTGCAGTTATTCCTGGAATGCAATGAAATCTTAACCTAGCATCTCGGAAATCTAGTATGTTTAATGTAATTATGTTTTGGTATAAAAGGTCTTTGCTGTGCAATCCTTCTTTTTCGTCGCCCTTCTTTTTGCTCAAGTCTTTTTCATTGGGATGTAAGTACATAGTTTAAATTGTGGAATGCAAATTGTTCCCATTCTGTTTCAAAAGTATAAAGTGACATGATTATTTCTGAAGATCAAGAACAAAAATTATGTTGGACAGTTTCAGTGATGTGCATTTTCTTCAGAAGTTTTTACAACACTAAAATGATGTTCACCATTTTACAGTCTCCATCTTAAATCAGTCCCTCGGCCATGTTCTTCTACATGATTCATCTTGTTTCCAATTGCAGCGTGTTTTCTCATCTCCTGCCAAAATTATTATGTATAGCTATTGTAATAGTACTGTATCCTACTACAATATTTATACAATGATTTTGTATAATTGTAAACAAAATTATTACATACAGATATTGTAATAGACTTACTATAATTACAGGATTCATACCCCTACCCCATATTTTGATCTGGCTATGTCCATGTATACTTACAAATTTAAATTAAGGGGTAAAATTGAAAATGAGTAAAATCTTCATGCATACAAAAGTGTGTGTGTTTGTGAGTATGGCAAAGCCTCGAGGGCTATCTACCTAAGAGGAGGGATGCCTTCGTGGAGGACTTTCTAAGGGAAACTGGCTCGTATACACGTTACACATGGGGAAAACCACGAAAACGCCCATGCAGCCAGCCCGTTCGCGGGATTCGAACCTCGGACCAAACTACCAGTGTTCAGCGACTTTACCGCTCGGCCGCTGGTGGGCCTCATGCATAAAAAAAAAAAAAAAAAAGAGATTAACTATTTTTTAAAGAATTCAATGTAATTTTCTGGGCCTTTTCTGTATTTAGAGATACCAGCATATCACAACATACTATTTTTTTAAAGTAATTTAAAAACATAAAACCATTCAAACTTACTTTTTCCAAAGTACTGGAACATTAAAATAAAAATTTCTTTTAAAATTTTTGCCACCTGATTAAAATATAACCCATTAACTCCTTGACCATTAGCATGACCCCCCTGACCACTTTTACCCACTTATGAGATTTTTCTGTCATTTGATATATATTATAATTTAAAATATTTTTCTATCTCACTTTCTTTAATGATGTAAATATCATCTTTAGTTTACGAAAACTCCCATTCATTTATGTTTAAAATAAGTAATTATACAAATTTAGCTCAATGCTGTTTAAATTTAATACTCCATGAGCAAATCCAAAAAGCCCTGCCACTCAGAGGATTCAGTATCAGTAATTATTATGTAACCAATATTTCAATATACTTACTCGCAGACCAATTCTTTCACTCAATTTTTCAATTGATGGAGGGAGGTTTTGTAGAAGCTGAAAAATAAAAAAGAAAACTTAGTTTCAGTCAGGCAGATTAGTCACTACAGTCAAAAGTCGTTAATCCGGACTCGTCGGGACTTCGGCGATTCCGGATTATCGATTTTTCCGGATTATAGATCATCAGTTTAAATCTCGTAAGATGGCATGCAGAAATTCCAAAATTAAAAATATGAAACCGTAATTTATGAAATAAAGAACAATGATGATCTAAAGGGTATCAAAATTTGCAAAAAGAAAAAGCTTAATATTTATTTGTTTACTTTATTAAACATTTCTTTCAATGTAAGTTGTTTAAGTTTTGCTTCGTTTCATGTGATAATACTTTCTCTTTAATTCTATTAAACAGACATAATTTCTTGTTCAGTTACAAAGTTCCCCGTTCCGCCGTTCAAGTCCTATAATTGCTGTGTCAAGAACACCGACTAATTTGTCAATCGAAATTTTTTTGTTTTCAATAACCTCTGTCACTTTTCTTCGCTATCGAAAGCGAATTATAATGACGAGGAACTTGTTTTAAATCATATCAAAGACGGAGCATATCGAGATGAAATACTACATTTGGTAAGGAATTATAAGCCAAATAAAATAAAAACATCTGCGCTGAAGATAAGGATAGTGCTGACAAACCAACTTCCAATTCATTACGCGCCCGCCGCCGAGCAGCGTGAAAATGATAAACAGATTTCGGATTTCAAAACATACTTTCGCTTTAGATCCTTTACATATTAACAATATATATCGGAAATTCTATTTGATATAATCGAAAGTTTAAGCTTACTTTTATAAAATTGCTCTTACAGTCTGCAAAAAATAATAAGCCGGATGCAATTCGAAAATTAAGGAACAACGCAATCATCAACATTAACTGAAATAGATAATTATTTAGCTTATACATCCATTATACATAAAATGCGCATGCGAAAACGTATTCTGCACTTGCGCACACTCATATGCGCAGTCGTAAAAGGTCTTACGCGCACGCGTGAACGCCTCTGCGCATGTGTCAACGCGGCGCATGCGCAGAAAGTTTTTAGTTTTGATGTCCGGATTATAGATCATTCCGAATTATGGGTGTCCGAATTAACGACTTTTGACTGTATTAGACATTTTGGTACTTATGTATTTATTGTCTGATACCATAACTGACAAATTTGAAATATGAAAATTAGGGAAGTTTTTGCGATGCACGAAGCCATTTCAAGAGAACATTAAATTTACTTAAATTCATTTTATAGTCCATATTTGAACTATTTATAATATGATTCTGATGTAAAATATATGAATATTTAATTAGATATTCTAAGTTATGTTTGGCTAATTTCATTTTGCAATTTTCCTGCACTTTGGTACTGAGAAAATTCTGAATGGAAGGAAAACTTGCTTATCAAGTGCTTTTAAATATCATGAAAATAATTTTCAATAATTAATGTACATCCCGTTGCATTGATAAAACTAAGAAATGTATCATATACTGATGCAAAACAAAATTAAATAAAAATGTTAATTGTTAAACTTTGCCTGAATATTCATAAAAAGTTCTATGAATGTCTACAGTAGATTAAAAAAAAATTCAGATAAAATTTAATAAATAGAGGAAAAATATTTTGAAGATCACTAGAGATAGAGAATGGAGTGTGTATAAATCAAATTCCATTCACTGCTAGGAAACTCTTTTTGGTAATAATGTAATTATGCAATCTACCACATTTAGTTAGTTATTTCTTTGTTTAGATGGTGCCTCTAAAATGCTATTTTTAAATGTGAAAATAAATACACATAATTATGAATACATAAACAATAAAGATTTCATTAATTTAAAATCTTTAAAAATGTTAATTTGAGTAAATTTGAATTTGGTGTAATTTACAAAAAAAGCAGGTATGATCCTAAATGCTCAGTCATTGAGTTAGTCTATCAGGATGGCACATTAGAAGATGCACTGTCTTGAGGGGAAGATAATTCATGCTACTAAGCGTAACTTAAGAAAAAAGTTTGCATAAATTAACTTGGCCAAATTATTCAAAGATTTTGCATGTTACAAGAGGAACAGTCACGTAGTTACCAGAATTAATTTTGCAACTACTGAAAATGAAAAATGATATACATTTTCTATTTGTTCCTTAAAAATTCTATAAAACAAATATATATTGAAATAATACCCAAACAATAACATCTTTTATTACATTCAATTAATAAATATAAAAATTATTAAAAATCTCTCCTGTAAAAAAATGAGCATAAAATCAATGAAGCGAAAGGAATACAGTCAAAAGTCTTTAATCCGGACTCGTCGGGACTTCGGCGATTCCGGATTATCGATCATCAGTTTAAATCTGGTAAGATGGCATGCAGAAATTATAAAATTAAAAATATGAAACCGTAATTTATGAAATAAAGAACAATTAGGATCTAAAGGGTATCAAAATTTACAAAAAAAAAAAAAAAAAAAAAAAAAAAAAAAAAAAGCTTGATATTTATTTGTTTACTTTATTAAACATTTCTTTCAATGTAAGTTGTTTAAGTTGCTTCATTTTATGTGATAATACTTTCTCTTTAATTCTATAACCAGACATAATTTCTTGTTCAGTTACAAAGCTCCACTGTTCAAGTCCTGTAATTGCTGTATCGAGAATGCCAACTAACTTGTCAATTGAAATTTTTTTGTTTTCACTAACCTCTCTGTCACTTTCTTCATGCCTTTTTCTATTTTTTGCAGCAATTTCACTTTTTGTTTGATGGACATTGAAACATGCTTTCGCTTTGTAGATCCTTTGGCAGCTCCAGAATAGGAAACTCTTTTTGAAATAATTGAAAGTTCAAGCTTATTTTTTATAAAATTGCTCTAACAATCTGCAAAAAATATTAAGCCGGATCCAATTAGAAGATTAAGGAACAACACAGACTTTGTACTGTATATTGTTTTCTTTGCTAACTTGAATTGAATACAAATTTATTTTCATATATCACGTTTAACCGGTTAGCTTTAAATCTACATGCTTATTATCTGTGAATTTTTACTACCATATGCTTAATATATGGTTTTGTCTGCTAACTTGAATTTACCTGCACTAAAAATCATATTTACGGCTCGACTCATTGGAGCTTGGCAAGTAAAAACGCAAAGGCGCCAACGGGTTCTTTAGGATGAAAATCCCAATTTTTTTAATAATATCTATAACTAATCAGTATTTTATGAACATATTAAAACTTTTTTTTGTAATCAATAATAAAAAAGTAACAGAAAAGTTACAAAAGTCTTCATATGCTTTAAAGAAATCTGCATATAATAGTAATTATTGTAGTATTTCTGTCAGTTAATATTTTGTAGTATATAAATGCAGTATTTAAACAGCTTTCAAACATCTGGCCATAAAGTTACGCAGTTTTTTTTTTTTTTTTTTTTTTTGTAATATCTCCATCATTACTGTTTTTAGTTCGGTTTTTGTTTTAATGTAGTGTCTTCATACTCTAACCTCAAATTATCTCCAGATGTTTTCTGTTGGGTTTAAATCTGTTGGCTGAGGTGGTGTTTTCAGAAGTTGTGGACAATTATATGTAGATACCCAAAAGGCAAACGTTGAAGGCCGTGTGCTTAGAATTGTTATTCCGATAAAAAGTAAAGTTGTTTCCAGTACCCTGAATGAATAATTTTAAATTATCTTTTAAAATATTTAAATAAAGAGCACGGTTCATTTTCAGTAAATACTAAATTATTTAATCCTGATGCTGATATGCACCCTCACACAAGAACACCTCCACCACCATGCTTTACTGTACCAAACAAGGTCGTGGGATTAAGGTCCTCATTTTTTCCCCTCGATACAATTATATGCCCATTGGAAGCAAAAACATTAAAATTGCTTTCATCTGCAAATAAGACATGATTCTAATACACTTCAGGCATATTTACCATTGACTTTGAGAAGAAAGATTGCTTTCATCTGCAAATAAGACATCATTCGGTACTTTTCCGTTTTGCCGGCGCAAGCGATAAAGTCGCCAATAATGGTACAACCGATGCCAAACGGAATATTCTCGCTGGTAACTTTTTACGCCTCATTTTTAAAACAAGTCGCAGCTTTTTTTTTTTTTTTTTTATCAGATTGATTGTTTCTTTCAATACTGGCATATAATTACACAGAATTTTTATCAGATAGTTCAGTTTTATGTCTAAGGCCATTTTCGGTAATTACATCAATTAGGATGCAATCACAGCGCTTACCCGAAAATATAGAAAAGGTAAAGTCAAGGGTTAAATTCATCTATTCTAATGAGAATGCATTAGCGAAGTAAAGCACTGCGGTTTTACATAATTTATGAGTAAGCTATTTGTACGAATTGAAATATTTCTTGCATTTAAACTTGTGTTCCAAATTAAGATTTAACTTGAAATTAATGTAGATAATTACTGAGAGCATTAGATTTTTGTAGAGTATTTTACGTGAGATGAGATCGCTTGGGGTCACGTGATATGAACCGGTGAATCAGGATGTTGAACCATGAAAGCATAGTAAATTCTTAAATTAATGTCTTTTTACAAATTTATTGTCTTTATTTATTGGCTTTTTATAAAATTTTAAGCGGTATTAAAATGTTTATGCCTGCAAAATAAAAAAATTCTTAGAACTAACATTTTTTTAAATATTTTTTATGTGTATACTGTATGTTGTCGCCAATAAAGTCTGCTTGGCGAGATTTGCGCCGGCGAAACGGAAAAGTACCCATCATTCTAATACACTTCAGGCATATTTACCATTAACTTTGAGAAGAAAGAAGAATCTTTCTATTTTTTGCACTTCCAAAAAATTTTCTTCGAGCAGAGTGTCAATGTAATCCAGTTTATCTGCGTACTTGTTGAACAGTTTTAAGTGAAATAGAAGTAGAACACTTTTCAGTTAATTCTGTAGAAGTCTTTAAGACACTCAAACATGGAATTTTCATAGATTTTCTAACTATAAATCTGATCACATCGAGTCCTCTTTATTTTTGATCCAATTTTCTTCTTTAAAACATTTTATCACATACTGCACGATAGAATGGTACACATTTACTAATTTAGCGATATCCCGAATCCAATTTCCATCCTTATGTTAAAAACTGATCAATTTTCAAATGCTGCTTGTCGTTTCCTTATGGCTATGAGGCAGCTTTAAACATTAAATAAAATATAACAAAGTAAGCAGGCAAAAAATAAAGCCAAACAATTTTTTAAACGTCACCAAAATGAAAAAAATAAGAAAAAGGGTTAGATGATATTTTCATTTATGAAATTTTAAGAAATTGATCAGTATACCTGAAATATACTTGCACAAGGATGAAACTCCGTAATCTTATCTAGGGATTTTAAAGGGCATTAACGCTACGTCAGCTTTATGAAATAATTTACCAGCAGCTAATTGCTTTTATGCAATTATGTGTAGTTCTGGGAACAAATCACCACTGCTTTACAGTAAATATTTTTATAACGCTTCTTTTTCATAATGAAATCTTGTAAATATCTAAGCTTCCACATTAATTTTCCGAATGCACTAACTTAAATATAATATATTTATTATAACTATGAAAAGAGATTATTACAAGAGAACATAAACTCACATTATTACTTCCACTTTTTTTCCCCATTTTGAAGATTTTGAATGATATTTACCGCTTTCCCGTTCTTCTTCTTCGATTTCCGTGGCTTGGCATCTAGCTTGTACTGACTTCGACGTATTCTCAGTACTGCGGACTCATTTCTTCGCGTTCACTACAAAATCTACATTGCTTCATCTTCAAGATAAGAAAAATGCCCCTTCCTTCTACTTAGGATATTTTAGAAACCTTGGCTTTGCCTTAACTAAGAATGAAACATGGATTCTAAAATATCCTAAAGGTTTGCGTATTGGCCGATGCTATTCGCACCAGTGGTGCGATTAGCCGCTTGACCTATTCTCACCAGGCCGATGCTTTTCGCACCACCGGTGCGATTAGCCGCTTAAGCTATTCACACCCAAGGTCCGTCCGTCTTGATTCACACCAATATTAACCACGCATGCGCATTGAGTTGTCAAAGGCGGGTTTCTACCTTGGCGTAGTTTATCATTTTTTAAGCGTTAGAGACTTTCAATAGTTTAGTAAGGAAAATGGGTTCCTTTTCTTATAAAAAGAAGGAACACATTTCCTTTTATTAAAGTATATATAAAAAAAGGGCAGATTTTTATGTTTGCAATGTTTATCCTTTTCCTGAACGGTTTGAATAGTTTAAATGACTGACTTGAAGGGAGGGGCAAAATCGTGTTGACAGTTTTTTTACTTCTTAGAATACATTTAGCTTTAAAGATGTGTTTTGCTCAATCAAGCTGTTAATTCATTCTTCTTTGAAAAATTTCGTCCGATAAAAGATACTAAAAATTAGACAGCGGATTTCTGTGTAGAAAATTTAGACAGGAAATAAATTAAAAGTGATTATATTAACTATTAAATGAATTATTCTGTATGCTAGCTTATTTTTTTATGGAAACAGTTGGAATTTTCAGGACACAAAAAGTGCTTCAAAGAACTCTGAAATATTAGTACAAACACATTAATCAATTAAATTGAAATAAATAATGGGATGTAATTTAAAAGACAGGAATAATTTAATGTAAGAGACTTAGATTTAAAAATTTGCACACACAAATCAGATTTTGTAAGGTTTTATTTCATAAATAACTTTGATTTTGAAATATGGCATTTGAGCTTATAAACCTGTGTGGATTCTGAAAAAGTGATGAATATATAAGAATATTATCATTTTCAGTAAGTTTTCTTATTGAATAATAAATTCTGACAGTCCTATGCTATAAGAATAGGTTCTAAGTTTGCATAAAAATTCCTCTTTCTGTAGCCTTTTTGTCAATACACTAAAGATTTTTTAATCTAATTACTCGTCCTCGCTTGCAATTAGAATCATCATTAAATCCCTATTTTATCTAATCATTTCCTGAACATTATCATGCATATAGATTGACTTCGTCTTTGTAACTGATAATTATTACTTGCAAATTATTCTCTTGCTGGTGAACTGACAGACAGACAGACAAGACAGACAGATGTCTTTTGTTGCACCCGTCTTTCTGCACCGATGGGCGAAAAATCAAGCATAGGTGCGAAAGAAAGGCAATTTCGTATTTCAGAGGACAGTAAAAAGGAACTTCGTATATTTTATATGAGTTCGAAAGGCCAGGAAGAAAAGATGGGCCAAAATAAGGTAAAAAAATAAATGGCCCAAAAGTAATGGAGAGAAAAAAAAATTATATTTATAATTTTTTTAAAAAAGGGCCTATAGAAAAAAAAGGAAAGGAAATGAGAGAATTTTGTTAAAAAAAAAACCCACGATTGTGTCCATGAGTGTAATCAAAGGAAGTTGTTATCATTTACATTAAATAGAGTCCAGGTGTATGTAATGAGTGTGTTTTGTAAAGCTGAATAGATGTGAAGATGGGGGAAAATTAATAATAAAATATAAATATTGGGGGTCCAGTCACATAACAGTATAAGTCTAGTTTAGAAGCTAACTTGTGCTATAACAGGGAAACTAAAATTAAAAAAAAATTTTTGAATTAAACTTTTATTTTTTTACATGGGAAACAATATGTTAGCCTCTACCTTGAGACACAGTAACAGAAGACACATAAGATCAAGATACATATAATATCATGCAAAATTATACATTAACTTAAGTAACATCATCCATTGCGGTTTCCAACATATTCATATACTCAGAAAACACCATCAGATAAAATCATAAATCTAAAACAAGGCGAGAACACATCAGCAAAAATAAATAAATAAATAAATTACAGAGTTTTTTATTTTAATATTAATTAATTAAAAAAATAAGCATTTTATTTATTTATTAAGTTAATGGTCATAATTGATTATATGTGTACTATTTTATCAATTTGAGGCACGCTGTATTAATATATGCTTTTAAGGCGGTTTGTTGACAAATGTCTGCCTATTCGTTCAACATAAGCAAATTTAGCCCTTTATTATCTCATAAAAAAATGAAGTGCCGTACTGGAAAAGTCTGCTGCCACAGAGAATAGATCCTCGAAATTCTGATGATTTAAAAAAAATAGCATACTTTATCATGTTATAAATAAATATTTGCCGAATATTACTCTTGTTTTTTTAGCGTTTTTTAGATTAGTATCAATATTGAAAAATAGAGGGCGCCACAATTCCATTTCGGCGGATAGTCAAATTTTCATTTTGGGGTAATATTTAATTTTTCTGCATTAAAATGGTTAATATTTTTATCTTAGGAAACGAAGTACATTTACAGATTCACCATGACACGTTTCATTCATCAAAATGTTATTTCTACAGCACAAAATGTGCACATACATAGATTATATTCAAATACTTTGCAAACCTAAAGGTTTTGGTAACGTCATTGCATCTTTCGCCAAGTAGGAAATTTGGCGAATTTTTTCGCGCCTATGTTGTAGATCGTCTGCAGAGTTGAACAGGTTTTGAATGGGTACAAGTGCGAATACTATCTTAAAGGTTTTTCTTTCCTAAAAGACTCTTATTTTGAAATAACTTGATTTTAAAATTTACCCGCTTTTCTTTTATTATTATTTTTCATGTTTAATCTAAGTTACCTAAATCTCTGGGTCATTGATTATCATCAGAATTTCAATTCAAATTGGTTAAACTGCTATTAATAAAATCCACATTAAAAAATATCTGGTGCAATGTTCATTCCTTCTGTGAGATTGCTGAAATATTTGAAAAGCAATGTTTATAGTTCGATTGCATTTGATATTATTTCTGATTTTCCATGTTTTTGTCATAAATTAGAAATGCATTTACATGCAGATAATAATTATTTTAAATTTCTTTTTACTTAAATATTACCTATAATTTAAGATATTTAGCATAATATTTGAATAATTACTATGAAAAAATATCTGTTTTATTATTTCTGGCAAATTTAATCAACTTAACTTGATGCGACTTTTAAACTTGCTTTTAGAGAAACTATAGTTAAATATTAAGGAGATTTCAAAATTTAAACTTTTAAAGCATATTTAATGCTGAAATTTACTTAGTTTTTAAAACGTATGTTTTTTTCTGAAAAGATTTCGTTTTTTGAATGAACAATATATACTTAATGTATACCAAATATGCTCTTTTAAGTAAAGTTAATTATTCAGCGAGCTAAGATTTGGTAACTGAATATCTTAATTTCAAGAGCGGAACAAGATTTTCATGATTATACCTGGATAGCTAGCTGATTTGAAAGAGGGATGGGTTTAAAATGTGACTTTTTCATCTGATTTATGAAAACAAAAAATTAAGTGATTTCAGGATATAACATAAACATTTGCTTTAAATATCTTCTCGATCTCAAAGAAATTAAATTTGCCCTAGGTATAAATAAATAATAATGCCCTTGTTTTTCTGCTTTTTCTTTAGCAAGCAAATTTCGAGATTTTTTTAATACAAAAATTATGGCATTAACTTTTAAACACCTGATCTGTTTTTAAGAGCAATAAACAAAACATTTAGGAGTTATTTAAGGGCTGAAACAGTGATAATATCAGTGTCAAATTTGCATTTCACTTTTTATATACGTTCAAGATATTCTGAAATTGAATTTTAACCTCAAATAGTTTTTCTTTATGAATTTTCAGTTGATCATAAATTTATTGACTAAATTTAAAAATTCTTGCCTTCCCGTCCTTGAAACACCAGTACACTTTGTCTGAAATAGGATTAAAAACATTATCCTATAACAGAAAGCTGAAAACGAAATATGACGCATAGTTAATAAGAAACAATACCATGTTGTTATTTTATTAGCTTATAATATAATTGTTCAGTATGGTATTTTTGTAAATAAAGGGTATTATTGCGCACTTTGTAAAAAATAAGTAAGCTTTATATTTAATAATTATAACAATTATTAATTATTTAATAAGTCATTATAAGATTATAATTCAATATTTTTTGTGGAATATACTTTTTGAGGATATTTTCCCTAGGAATCCCAGCATTCAATTGTTTGAAGCATTAAGCTCTAAGAAATTGTCTTGCTTCAGCGTAGAATTAATTATTCACAATTCATTCAATTGTTTGAAGCATTAAGCTCTAAGAAATTGTCTTGCTTCAGCGTAGAATTAATTATTCACATGAAGTCCCTTAACCAAAGGAAATGCCTTACAAGGGTGTTTTTTTTAACAACAGCTTTTATTAGAATAAATATTTTTATTTTAATA